AGTTTGTTCGTTTACCTAAAACATTCAAGTTTATCGCATATTAAGTTCTTTGTTTATTGGAGAAAATAATTTTATTTTATTTATAGACTATATAAAAGGTACAAAGATAATCTTTGCACGGGCTAACATATTGACGCCTCTATTCTGTTAACTCTTATAACTTACACAGTCAATCCCAATACATGTGGGGTAAGAATTGTATTTCAAAAACATTAATTAGTAAATTATGAGAAAATTTTAAAAATCTTAAAACATTTCACTCGTATACCGGATTCAGTTTGAGATTTTATCGCATAGCCTAATCATATAAAAACTTTCATGAGTTGAAGGCATAACAAGGTTAAATCACACAAAACATTTCACTCGTTTGCCGAAAACAATTCCAGATCTTTATAAAATCATATTATACTGCACATCGCTGCACTAAGTTAATTTGGTAAAGCAAGTATTTACTTAATCATAATTATTTTCGATAGCTAAGGCCTTTCCGTGGTGCCCCCTGTCCGCTTCTATCTTGCACCACCTTTACGAGAGCTGTATAAAGGCGGGCACACAAGTCCGCGGGCATTGTTCGCGGGATTGCGTCATTTGTCAAGTTGTACTGATGCTTTGCGCAACTTACTCATGTTACCTCGTACTTTTCACTGACGAACGCGAGGCTGCTAACAACGCTATGTATGAGCGACGGAGTTGAATGGTGCCCTTAGTCCCGCCGTGACCCGGTCGTAATGCCTTAATAAGACTTATTTATTGGTGATTTCCTCGTTACAAAATGCGTATATAACACTATATACACATTTAATGGGTTACTTGAAAACTTCTATGATGATAGTAGAACTTAATAAGCCGTAAAAGTTGCGTGTTTTATGAAAGAGCTTTACACCTGACACTACTGTATGATAGTCGTTTTCTAAGGTAAAGCAAGTAATTGCTCATATATGTGTCCCACTGCTGGTCAAGTGCAGGATGTCCTCTGTACAAATGCTATTAGACAATAGTCCGCCACGCGAACCCTCCACACTTGAAATATCTTAATAGCCCACGAGCATGTATTCAGTATCTTCGCTACTTTGATACCAGCACTAGAATTTAAATTCAGTCACTGGAGTACGAGATACAGACAGAACGACTTATACAATATTAAAAAAAAATAGTAAAGGTTTATTATTGTTTGAAACATTTCAAACTTACAGATGCGTACAAATACGCACCCACAACCGGTGACGCCGTAGCTTAGTTGTACACTTACCGAATCATCACACATACATACAAGAATGTATTTAAAGGAACGTTTTATTAATTCTTTTTGATAAACATTTACATAAAATATTTAATATTAAAAACAATATTCGCTTTCTTTACTCTACTAAATTGTACAAGGAATTCAGTCGCACGCAGTGAAGAAACCTAAAAATGTTATAATACTCCAAATACTACTCGTACAAAAATATTTTATTTTTGGGACAGGGTGTTTATTATAACAAAATTAATAGTAAAAAGCGATCTATAACTCACGAATCACACGCAAACTGGATGCGCAGTAAACTACCGCGGAATTGTGGACATGTCGGCCGCCTACGTCACGTCGCGTGGGGATTTATGTGTCGAGAGTTACAAACGCACAAATTGGCGGGGCCATGGTCGAATGGAGGGTACGTCATTAGTTCGACTCCGTTATGTATAACAAGACCTAGATACTATTAGTCTCGGGACTGAAAGCAAAAACATCAGTTAATACAAGATACTATTATAACATTCCATACATTTCGCTCCATGTGCAGAAATTGATACCACCTGCTAGCTATCCTAAATTAATTTAAAGCAGACCAACATAAAATACCGTGCACATTACGCACGACCTGACAGTAAACCTGGTTAACTATGGCATTAGTACTTGTAACATCAGTTACGTTTGTGTTTTTTTATTTTAACAAAACTAACTCTACGGACTCGTACTCTTTTTTGATTAACATGTTTTTTTTTTAATTATCTTTTTGGGCTGTCACCACCGCGTACATAAACCGGGCTGGTATCGGTGCAGCAGTGGGGTCAAAACATCGAGGCATCAAAATCCCTAAAATAATCTTGATAAGCACGTAAAATATCTGAAAATTTAGGTCTGTTAAGAGTCTCAGACGCGACCTGAAACTCTTATTTGGGATAACGCTACCGATAATAAGTCTAATGATTAAAAAAAAACAAAGGATTCCGTACGATTATATACATAGTAATTGGTAAGTACCTATAGGTTGTCCAGCAACCGTTGCCTTTCGCCAGGAGTTATTTGTATGGGAGCCACCTTAAATATTTTTATTTGATTCTCTTTTCTTAGTATTCGTTGTTATAGCACCAGTCAAAAATCATCTGTGAAAATTTCAACTGTCTATTACGGTATATGAGATACAGCCTGGTGACAGATGGACAAACAGACAAACAGGGTGACAGACAGACAGCGGAGTCTTAGTAATGTATACGGTATTTGATATATGATCCCGTTTTACCCTTTTGTTTTACGGAACCCTAACTAGATCTTTCACCGAGTAGGTTAAAGCTTAATTAAATTATAAGTATTCGCCGATGTAAAAAGAGAAAACAAAATTGAAATCTAAGTAACGTGTAGGAAACTGGCAATCAGCAATGTCGCTTAAATGTCAATAGGTAACGAACTGCCTCCAACAGGCTGGACAAAGAGCGAGCCTTATCGCTTCGATGAAATGCGCCCACTAATTAGTAAAACTAATCGCCGACCCGTCCGGGTGCACCTAGCTCGATCTATGAGGGCTGAACCGGGACTTGAAGATCGACCGTGTGATAATGACACGCAGAAGGGCCGAAATGTTAGTACAAATGGGAAGTTAGGTACTGGAAACGTTTGTAACACGAAACGATCAGATTATCGTGTACCTAAAACTTTTACAAATGTAATTGGAGGAGTAAATAATAATAAAAAACAGCCCTAGTAAAGTAACAGTCGAAGGGGTAACTAATATAAAATCGTTAATCTCTTTGTTCTTGTACGAACGATGACGAGCTGTCTTTATCTTGGCTTACTTTTAGATTATAGTTTTAATCTTCGGTCAGTGTATTTTTGTTACTCATATAGTTATTATATAAGCGTGAAAGTTTATCATTGTGATCATTCCCTCTTTTCACAGTGTTCATTAAAAGGATTAGAGCAAGCAGAAATAGGTTAAAAGCGAAATAGACTATTTTAAATCTACTTTGTATCCCCTGTCATTTTCAAAAGTACCATTTTACCCTAGCAAAAGTAAAAATGAAGAGAAAAATACTGCGATGACCGAACTTTGGTACAATTTTGTGAAACATGAAATGTATTCAGAATTTCGAATTTCGCGTTAATATTACGACACGTCGTATTTTACATGGCTAGTCAATAGACTTGAGCAGAATCTACCAGCGATCGTAGGTCAAGCACATTATGCAGAACATTTGCCGCTGTGTAAACAGGGGACACCTTATCCGAGCGCCGTTTCGATTCCCAGCTATAAGCTCTCCCCCAATGCGAATGCTAAACAATTTGTCGCCGTAAATATCTAAACAGAAAGGCAACATTGGCATAAAACAAAGTACAATAATTCATGATAATTTAAAAATATGTAATAGTCATTAGATAATGTCAATTATGATTGACGTGTATAATTTCATTTGAATAAATTTATAGAAATAACAAGATTTATTGGTTACTCGGTTACACGGTTACACTATTTGAAAAGATACTATTTTACAGACATTACGTCCGAAAAATACTATTGTTAAACGTTCATTAGTAATACGTTATTATATATTACATAAGATTACATTCAGTAATCTTATTCGAGGACTAAAAAAATCTATTTTGTGAAAAGTATAATATCTGATAACAAGATCCCTAATTTGGTCACCATGCTAATTCATTCTTAAGTAATATAATTATTAATTAAATGGTTAATATTTCAGTACATATAAGTTTCTGTAAAAATCCAGACCTAAGTATGTGACATTTCCCTGACTTCGCAGTATTAAAGGTTGGCTTCTCAAACTCAAACTAATCTTGCGAAAGGTTGCTTTGAGAGCGTGGTACAAATATCACTCTTGTGCAATCATTTTGAATTCAATTTAAAACATAGGCTACATATAGAACACAAACTTGAAACAAATACAATATTTACACCTACCTAATTATACCCAAAACATACACAATTGTGTATGTTTTGGGTATAATTAGGTAAATTTGTAAGGTTTTAGGTAAGTTTGTAATTTGTTTGTAAATTATACCCAAATATAATTGAGGCTTATTAATGTATTGTATTTTGTATTGATTATTCTTAAATGGAATCCCATTTAGGAATAATTAATAAAAAATAAATACATAGCAAACATTAACCTTTACCATAAAACTTAATAAAAGTTAAGGACACCATTATTACTAACACAAGGTACCAACTATAACTTTATTAGCAGTAACCCAATACGAAACTGTAATGATTATCGTAAGGATAATACAAGAATGTTTAAAACGTCAACAGGGTTTAGTTAGTGTGCTGTCGCATTGTAAACTGTTTTGCTATTTACACATACACCGTACTTACATGGACTGTAGACACTACTTAATATAAACATTAAACTTTAGTGAGACCATTCTCCCACCCAACTAATGGGCAAAGCATGTAGCGTAGTTTGAAAAGTGTCACAAATCTAAACTGCACGCACCATTTATGTTAAAGTTATTTAGCGCATAACAATAATCAATTAGGTACTGTACGAAAACGGATAGTCCAAATGCATTAAACAATTGCAATATATTAAGCGAATCGCTTTTTTCTTTACTTTCTGCTCTCATACGAGCCATTCTGCACCATTAAATGCACCAGTAGTAATATATATAATAACTTCTGCTCTGTTTCTTGATGATACGTTTTATTTTTATTTTATCCACAATCCAATAGGTCTCACTTAATAAAACAAAAAAGCATTGTTAAATGATGTTTTTTTGTCCACAGCGAACAGGAAGCAGCCGTAATGAAGGCAAACCCGTGGCTCTATCATTACTACGCAGTTCAATCCAAACTTCACTACGGACTGGCTTACGAAGCAGCCACCAGGATGTATGGGCCGCCACCGCCAGATATACAAGTGTACCCACCTGCCATGCAGTACCCACAGACGCCTCCGGTCTGCATCAACGGGAATCAGGCGGCTATGATGACCAACACCGGGCTCCAGCCTCACATACCGCACATTCCTCCACATTTAACGCCAATACACTATACATACGAAAGAACAGACAATGGCCCAGTCGACTACTCTGTGTCATTGCAAGAAAACAGGTTAGAAAAATATTCACATTCATTTTAAGTGACCTTAGATTTAAGAATTCGTAGGTTGTCATAATCTAGTATATCATAATCACCATGTTTAACTTCAGCTTCCTTTTTCAGGTATCACAATATACGAATGGAAGATACCAGGATCCAGCCTAACGCCAAAAGGAAAGTTAAACAATCAGACGACAAATCTAATATTCCTATTACTAATATTTCTCCGCGGTTCTCAACATCCAGCGGTATTTCTGGTGGAGAAACGTTAATAGCTATATCAGCAGGGTCTATAGCAAGTCGTAGGCCAGGGTCGAAAAATTTTAATATAACCGAAAACGACATGCTCGATCAGTGGAACCCTAGTCCAACGTGGTCAGAATCAGCATTGCAGAAAGTTCCAGACGTCTGTCATCAAGATCTTAGCCCGTACGTCACAACTACTCCACCAACCCCATCTGGCACTCCGTCTGCATACACACAAAACTATAGTCACACTTTCGTCTTCGACTGGTCACCTGAACAGTATGTTCCTCATACTAACAATAGATGTAGCACAATAACTACAGAAAGTTCCTATCATCAGACGTGGAATAGAGGTCATCGTACGACCTTTACTAACGCAGAAACTTCTATCGATGAGAACTGCAATCCTAATAGAATAAGCCTACCAATGAGGGTCAGTAGTCCATCGTCTGAATACAACAGTAGCAGAGAAGGGGATATTCTAAGAAGACAAATTGGTAAGTTTAATATATAGTTTAAGATCAAAGCATTAATTAAATAGACATGGGATTGGAACCTAATTTATTTTATAAGGATTTTCCGTAAAATATATAGCAAATTAATTACATTTATAATAAATTTAAATCGTTTGGATTAAAATCAGTCTAATGTATATATTTTTTATGTGAGCCGGTGGCGAACGAGCTGACAGTTCACCTTCATGTTAAGTGATAATCGCGGCCCAGCGACAACCCAAGGGTAGAGTAAGAGAAGCAGTCGCTCTAAGCGCCAGGTATAAGGGGTGCCAAAAATCAAATGCAAAAAACAATAAGGCTGGGACTGGTACCGCCGCCGTCGATTGACATTTACAACATCCGTAAATTTGCGTTATCATCTTTTAATAAAGTTGGCCCCGGCTACCTGTCACCAAAAGAAACGCAGAAGTATAACACTTCGACTTCACGCGGATCTTCTGTGAGGTCGTGGTACTTACCCGGACGGACTTACCCATTTGTGCAACAGTGAAAAATGTTGCTTGGCCCCACGATTTGTCCATACTAAACACGAAACATCTAAGAAGTCACAAAATTAATATCAGTGAAGATACCTATTTTAATTAAGGAATCCAATAAAGATTATGTAAATGTTTTGTGTCTTAAGTATCTGCAAATAAATAATAAACAAAGCCTGCAAAATTCAGAAAATTAGACATGTAACTATAATGTACCATTAATGCAATGTAGTTGACAAATACCTCTACTATCTGGATGGCATTTAAGGTTTTTTAAAAACTTTGCCCTTTATATAGGATAACTTTATCCTGTGATGAGAGTGTTTTACAAAACATAAATTACACTACAAAGGTTTAAATAAAATAATTCTATCTTTTTATATTTTAAAAATTACTTTGTTGCAGATCGGTCACATCCAGATTCACCAGGTGCCAAAAAGCCTGCATTATAACTAGTATAATTATACGTAAAATTTAATATAATTAGTTCAATATTTGTTACCCCAATCCTATCATTCTTATAAGTTCTTATATAGGGCAAGCTCTGGAACTCTTCTGTGATCAATGTTTGTATATGATGTAAACTATAGAATGTCTAGATGTATATATTATATTTCTAATTTACCAATAAAAATTGTACAAACTGGTAATAGTAATCTTGGATCTATCACATACAATGTGGAATGATTTAATTAAGATTAATTTGTATTATTTGTGTAAATAAAATTTAAGGAATTTATTATAGGTTCTGTAATAAACAATAAAATATAACTATTCTGCAAAGACAAAAAATCAAAAACAAATTCATTCATTGCAAATGAAATAATTTATTATCATGTTTAATTTACTTAATTTAATCTTATATGTAATAATTTCAGCCATATCAATTAGCTTCAAAAATAATTATATATATTTAAATCTTTATTCATTATAAGTTTAAAAAATACTATAAATTGTTAAAATCCGGATTTAGATTTTTTATTTAAATTGGCGATCTTGGAGCTAATGCTATATTGATTCAAGTAATATTCGTCCAATCCATTAGATTATTATCCTTTACAAAAAATTGTAGAAAAATGTATATTTTCCTTGTATAAAAATGTAATGTACAAATAAAAAGATTTTTCTCATTTGCTCATGAAGAGCAAGTGCACAAGTTTGACTAAATTTGTTGATTGAAAATAAAACATGTACAATCAAAAATTGTTCTAATTTCTATACCTATATGTGGAAATAAAACCCATAATTATTTCATTTGTTTAATTACTTAAAATTAGAATACATATAATTGAAGTGTTCATAAAAATCTATCATGATTTGATCTTATTTTATTTCTTTATTCAATCGGGACGTAAGCGCATATTACGCAACAGACAAAGATCCCTTGCAGTGTCTCGCCTTCCATATGCAGTGGACAAATCATAAAGTCTTAAAATCAGGCCAATATTAAAACTATCTGGTAGAGCCTTGATCAGAGTTGGAACAATTTCGCTAGGCATTTTCTGTAACACCACTTGTGCCCTCTCTTGACCACATTGAACAATGTACACTAAAAATTGTAATATGAAATATGTTTGGGGTGTTACATCACCATTTTTACCAGCCAATTGAGAAAATGACTTATACAGCAGTTCTAAGGCAGACTGTAATGGTTCCTTTAAAATAGTCCCTGTTGAACACTGGCCTTGAGAATAGTACATGGAACTACTATCAGAGGAGTTATCGTTCAATCTCCGTACTTTATTAGAAGTACACATCGCGTCCAAATCATCAGTATCTTCATGTCGGCGCTTTCTAGAGGTTTGAGTTTTGCTAGAATTGCTAAATTCCAAAGCAGCATAAATGCAATAAACTGACAACTTTGCCAATATTCCCGATTGAGGTTCAACTAATTCTTCACATAATTTTGCATTATATAAGTATTGAGGTAGAACATGAAGTAACAAAGCTTCTGCGCAATTTTCAATGTCTAAATGAAACAAGGCAAATACAATATCCACTGACCGGTCTAAATCATCTTGATAACGGAACTTAAGTGTTTCTTTTACTAGATTAGTCACAAACCAAACAGGTCCAGCAGTATTAAGTAAACTTTGACTAATATGTGTGGCATCTATATGCAGATACCCTCTAGACTTTATGTCTTCCCAAACAGCTTGTAGCTGTTCAAGTATTGGTTGACGAGAAATAATACTATGGGAAAATGTTATGACCTTAGATTTGGGAACTGATGGTGGATGAATATCATATTGCATTTTTCTTATTATTTGAACCATTAATATTGCACGTTCTTTGAAGTTATCAATCTGATTTAATTCAATTTCAGTTGGTGGTACTAAAAATTGTTGCACCATATTAATGGGTTTTAAGAATGCATCCTGATGTACTACATTAATATATGAACACAGCCATACTGAGGCACAAACAGCTAATGAAGCCATTTTTTGTCTGAGAGAATCTAGCATTCTTTTAACATCAGCAGAAGAAATAGAACCCTGTTCCCAAGCAAATAAGATCTCTTTTACTGCCCCACTTACATTCATACAAAGATCATGAGGTTTTAAATTGGTATTCTTAAAATCGAAATCAGGAGCACTGAGGTGATGAATAAAAATATCCATAAGCTGTAAATCACATTTCTTAAGTATTTGTTCAGGTGATTTATGGACACCTTTGTGAACCATACAATCCCTAACCCATTTTTCAAAAAATGAGTCTCCATTTTCATCTAAAACTGTTTCGATTCCATATTCTTGTACAATTGAACATAGAATTAAAAAGGAAATATCAAAAATATATACCTTAGATTGAGAAGCTCCTTTCTCACTTGCAGCAAGTAATGCAAATTCATTAAATTTGATTAGCCTTGACACAAACAATTTAAGTTTTCCTTCTACAGTAGCCACAGCCAAAATTGTATCTAAGGTTGTACCACCAACTATTTGACACAACATGCCATACAAAGATTCCTGAGTTTTATGAAAGTCCCCACCCATAGTTTTCAAGATTCCAGCTAAAGTAGGTTCTGCACGAGTAATAAATGATGGGACAGAGCCTTGCAAACCAGTAGGTTCATATTTTTGCAGTTTCATGTCTTTAGTTTCACGTTTTTGCTTAAAATACGACAAATGATTTTCCGACACTACATTTAATTTAACTAATGGTTCCAAAAGAGAAACAACACTATTACAACTGTTCTTAGTATCGACAATATCAAGTAAAGGTGTAGATTGCAAAAGCTTTTCAAAAGCTTCAACCACTTCGATTGAGTGTTCTCCATCCTTATTGCCGGTTCCACAAGTATTATGTATGTAATGCATAACTTGAGGCACTTTTAAAAATGTAAATGCTGCCCATAATGCTTGCTTGGAAGCGTCTTTACTAGAGTCATTTAATGAAATAAAACATGCCCGTATTAGTTCACAGTACAATCTTGACAATGTAAAACCTTTGATTCTTTGCACCATGAGCAATTGGTTGGAAAGTTGCTGCAAATCCACACTTGGATTTGCTAGGACATCTATTGCAATGAGGGCTTGAAGGCAATGGGTGACAGACTCCGGCTTTGTGTTTAATGGTGCAATTTTATCAATAGACATATTACAAATCTTCTGTAATGTCTCATGAATAGTAACAGGTGCTTTGAATTGTGTGTTCATCATCATAAAACCTGTAATCTCTTGGCATTTTTTTGTTACTTCATTATACTCATCTGGATCATTTTGCTTAGCCAAATAAAACATAGCAAGCAAAAAGTCTGTGTGGACAATGGAGTTTAAAAGTGATGTAGATTTCTCTAGTAGTTCTTGACTTTGGATAGGATTAGAAGATGGATACTTACTCAATGAGTAATGATATACTTGTAGCAGCCATAGTATCATAGATGAGACAGCATATGCCAAAATTTCTTCTTCCATTTTACCTCTACATGTAACACTATCAAGAAAGCTCTCTAAGAATTCGAGGAGGCTCAAAATGCAATGAGGTTTATGAAATGCATCAAACTTGGCAATTCTTTGCATTACAGCCGCATATGATACTAAATGTGACGCCAGAGAATGCTTAAGGTATGAAATTACCAACTGGTTCGCTCCGCATCCGACCATTGCTTGTTGAAGGATACAATCTGCTAGATTGTATAAGTCTCCACTAACCCCTCGTGGTAAAATAGTTTTTATATTTATTCCCCATTGTATGTCAGTCCATCGTTCACGCCATGCTTTTAATATTAAAGCCTTTAGGGAACTAGTTTTACTAGTAGTTTTAGAAGCATCCATCACAAGTCTTAATCACTTGATCACTTGTGTTGGCTTGAGACAACTAAACTTTAGAAATCTTTCTTCACACTATGAGGTATAGGCATTATTTTATTATTTGTATAGTTTTGATTACATACCAAGCTTTTATATTATCATTTTTTAAGTTATCACTTTATTTTACTGTATCCTTAAACTTGTAAGCGTTGTATTCGCAATTCTTATTCGGATTTTGCCGATGTGTATAGAAAGAAAATACATTCAATCAAAATGCCAAAATGCGAATATGAAATCCAAATCCAATAATTCCAATTTACGTAACATGCCATTCGGTTACGTTTTATCATCCATGCGTACTACTACTAAATTTCATATGTCTTTATATTTTTCTGACTTCTTTATTTACTATTAAAATATTATATCTATTTCAAATTAACCATAAATTTCCAATCATTTAACAAAAATACAAATAGTGTTTAAAAACAATCTGTAGTGGTGCACAAAAACTGTTTTATATCAAAGTAATATCGGAACGCAACCGCAGATGACTTACTAATGTCAATTGTCAAACCCATGTTGGACAGTGTTTACAAACTTAGTTTATTATTGTATATTTAGACAACATGAGTTTTCGAAATTATAAAGAAAAAATTGATGAAGGTGATACCGTGATATTGTATTTAAGTAATAACCTTTATGCTTTAGAAGTGACACCTGAAATAAAAAATAAAAGAGGTGATTTAGTAGAAAACGTTTACCAAACACCATTTGGTGCTTTAAAGGTTAGAAATCTTATTGGGGCTGACTATGGAAGCCGAGTAAGTATTATTATTAAATAAACAATTACTATTGTCTCTAGTCAATTATATATAATAGTTGATTTGCATATGTTATTCATGAAACCGAAAACGATTTTCTTACAAAGTACAACAAATTAAAATCGTAAGTTTCATGAGTAAAAGTAAGCTTTCGTGTTTAAATTTAATTATCTCATAATATTGTCATCTAATATCAACTATAAGGTGCACAGAAAAGAGTCGTAATTATATCACACATAGAATTTTAAAAATATTTGTTTATACATACATAAATGTAAATATGTGTATTTGAGTCATATGTAAAAAGAAATCATTGTACACAGGTTGAACTATCCAAAGGCTGGGGCCACATTTTACAACCAACACCAGAATTGTGGTCTCAAACCTTACCTCATCGCACGCAGATCATCTACACACCAGACATTAGTATGATATTATTACAATTGGACTTAGTACCTGGTAGTATTGTTATCGAAGCAGGTAATTATTTGTTAAAACATTTTATTTAATTACTTATCTATCAATTTAATTTGATAATTGCAATGTAACATTAAAAAACATTATTTTTATTTAAGAAAAGTAAGAATGGTCATTAGCTCATTAAGGTAATGTTTTATACAATGCAAAAAAAGATGCTTTAAAATTAATGATTTTTAATTTTAGTGCCAGTCTTTGTACTTAAGATGAAATGTAAAATGTAAATTTAAGAACAATTTCTCTACAAAAATATTAATACTTTCCAGTTAATTTGTTTTGTAATTTAAGTAGATAGCGATGTAAATGCAATTCCTGTAAGATTTTCGATTCACCGATTCATTTTCCCTTGCCCAAAAATCTGTGTATCAGCAACTTTTTATGTTTATTTTTTTATTTTTAGGGTTCTGTACCTTAAAAACAATTTTTAGAATATCATCTTTAAATACAGGCATAAAGCATAATCCATTTTTATTTCTGAAATTAAGAACCATGATTAAAATGTAACATTGAGTCAAGATCACGCCGCTTTTCAGTTTAGAGATAGCTCGATCGCGATATATGCTACACCCTCCCTCTCCCCAAAGGAACCCTTATAAGATCGCTCTCTTGTCCGTTTGTCAGTCCGTGTGTCACCACCGATTTTCTTCGGGACTGGTGGACCTAGCAAGTTGAAATTTATACCAGATACTGAGGTCTATAGTCCCTATTAGGTGTATAAAAATCAAAATCCCGAGCCAACAGTAAGAAAGATATGGGTAAATTTAGATTTTTTAACGGTGGTAGGGCCACGCAGCAGCCTCGGCTGTTGCACGAATGGGCAGGCCCGTCCGGGTAAGTACCAAGACCTCACAGAAGACCAGCGTAAAGTGGAAGTATGACAAATACATTCGCGTTTCGTCTGGTGAGTGAGGAAGCCAGAGCCCAATTTTCAAAAGTTTGTCAACGCCTCTGTAACCCTTGGGTGTAGCAGATGTCGTTTCGCCTCGACTTCCGGAAACGTTCTTGATATATCACAGTTATTACACGAAGTAACTAATGGTAGTAAATAATTACCCCAAAACAATGAACTCATAGGTACTGGAAGTGGTTCGCTAACTCACGCACTTATCCGTCGAGTGCGTCCACATGGCCACGTCTATACATTCGACTTCCACGAGCACAGGGCGAACGTTGCCAGAGAAGAGTTCCAAGAGCACGGCTTGGCGGATTTCGTCACTGTAAGTATTTTACATTATGCCAATAATCTATGTTTATAATATGTGTTATTATTATTATTGTTCATATATCTTTAAAGAAAAAAAAGAAATAACTGCAGAAAATGACAGCGGCTGAACTCATAAAATCCCTGGAAGGATCTCCGATAAGTCTGAAACTGGTCGTGAAAGTAAGTTCAGCCGTTTCATTGTTCAGTTTATACATGTCTCAAGAAAATTCAATAATCTAGGCAAATTAAAAAGGTTTCTAACGTAGTCCGTTTACTGCAGAGGTTAACTGTGTTAGGGCCACGCAACAGCTTCGGCTATTGCACGAATAGGCAGGTCCGTCCGAGTAAACACGACCTCACAGAAGACCGGCGGCGTAGTGCAAGTGTTACGTGTTGTCTGGTGAGTAAGGTAGCCGGCGCTCACTTTATTCTAAGGCGACAACGCATCTGCAACGTGTTGCAAGTGTCCATGGGCGGTGGTTATCACTTAACACCAGGTCAACCGCCGGTTTGCTTGCCACCTTCTCACATAAAAAAAAATTAGAGCATGGTCCGCCACGCGATCCCACTGAACTGGCAGAATTCACATATCTCCGAAATACTTTTCTTAATCATTTCTTAAACATGCAAGTTTATACGCTATGCATTAACCACCGAGCATATGGTCATCATCATCTCTTCAGCCACTTTGAGTCCACTGCTGAACATAGGCCTTCCGCTCAGACTGCTCAGACTGGCACGTAGCACGATCCTGAACCACCTGCTTCCATTGACTTCCCGCACACTTGCACAGGTCGTCACTCCGTCTAGTGGGGGGTTGTCCAATATTGCGATGCCCTGCCATTCGAGAACCTTTTTTCCCCAACATATGGTCAACCAGCTCTTAAAAAGTACCAGAATATGAACTCAAGTTGCTCAAAGTCCACACCACTGTAAAACCGATTATTTCATATGTATATAGGTATAACTTTCTGATGTAGATGATGATGTACATGAAACTTTAACTGATAATGTATCAATGGCCGTATACGTTTTAAATGCGATTTTAATAGATAATAAATGAATTGTGAAAAGTTTTTCGACACAGCCAGGATTCGAACCCGTGTCGTCTGGGTTACGCGCACAGATGCTGTCCACTGTGCTAAGAGCCAACTATTTTTCGTCAATAGTATAATTCCATTCCATTGGCGAAAAAGAAAAAAAAAACAAACAAAAATGATTGCCAACTGTTTTATTTGCCATCACCTGTCGTAGTTAGTAGATTTTTAGAATGCAAATCGATGTTGCCAAGGTTAAGACATTTTACGGTGACAAGGTTTGACGTTGTATTTGAAAGGATTTTTTTTCTCACAAACGGCTGCTAAATAGTCAATAACTCGATTCACTTTCAAGATAACAGGTAGCATTTCAAATGTATTATGTTCCGAAAGCCGAGCGACATTTTTAATGCGTTCAGATGTATAAAAAAACCGGCCAAGTGCGAGCTGGACTCGCGCACGACCGGTTCCGTACTACATGTCCTACTGCTGAGCAAAGGCCTCCTCGTTTTTTTTTTTTTTTTTTTTCACTGCCCTTACTTTAGGATAATATTATCCTGTGTTGTAAAGGACGTTTTACAAACATAAATTTCACGCGGACAAACACCCAGATGCGAAACAACTATCTGTGGGTCACACAAATAGTTGTCCTGTGTGGGAATCGAACCCACGACCCCCGACGCCGAAGCCAATACTTTGGCAACTTCGCCACGAAGTCATCTGTACAGAGGGTATCACATATCTTCGAAATATTTTTTTTTTCATTATTATTTTCGAAAATATGCAGGTTTCCTCACGATGTTTTCCTTTACCGCTGAGCACGTGATAATTCAGCACTTTAAATTAACAATTTCATTGGTGCCGGCACCGGGGATCGAACTCAGGTTGCTCGAGTATATTGAATTAAAGGCGAGCGCCCGGACACTAAGCACATGTTGAGCCGACCCCACATAAGTGATGATGAAAAATTTTATGTTTATTTTTAGACGCAACACAGGGACGTCCTCGAAGATGGTTTCGGCGCGGATCTGAACGGGAAAGCCGACGCTGTGTTTCTAGATTTGCCCAGACCTTGGGACGGCGTGATCCACGCGGTTGCCGCCATGAAAGCGCAAGGTGAGTTAGACGGAAGCAAATTCAGATAACCAACCGTGGAGGATAAAGTACTATTATAAAAATATACATACCTGCCTTCCTATATCTATTATTAAGTACCTATATAATACGCATCCATAAAAATATGCATGCCTTCCTATCACTATAATAACGTATCTTTATATGTATCCTCACATGTATATTTATTAAAGCTCGATATCGATTTATATCGATTTACGCGTAGATGTATGGTTGTGAAGGAGACGAAAGAAATTTGTCATCATCTGAATGCAATGTTGATTTAAATTAGGCGATTTGTGCGCACGAAGGCGCCAGACCCGACACAAAATATTTAAAAAAATGAAGATACCCTAATATACTGCGAGCCTAAGTACGGGTACTTACTATAGAGTTATCGGGTTCAAATTCAGATTATAAATATATGAAAACTATACAATAAATTGTATATTTTTTTTTGATTTGATTATTGGAAAAAATTAATCGTTTCGTTATTACGAAAATCATTGATCAATTTTATAATTAAGATTTATCTTGGAAATATTTGTAATTAAAACAAACACCAATCGGTGATTTCAAAAGCGCCGGCCGCCATCTGTAATAATTACAATCAATTTATTATCAACGATTTGAATTAAATACGCGCGTACAATGCAAATTTATTACGGCTCGTTGTAATTTGCTACGCATAGTTTTTAGGAGAAATAGGAATTTGCAACTCAATTCAAATTCCTAATGTAACATTTTATTAACAAATTAAGTTTTAACGTTTGACAAAAATTTTATTAAGTTCACGCCACTAAGCGGTGCCGGTTTTACTCGAACTTGGATGTCAGAGTTTGTAATTGTCTGACAATGGTATCATATACAAATACGAGGTAGATTTGACACTACCACACCGAAACTGAGGAACCTAAATTACACCAATTGGTTGTAATTGCATTGCAATTCTATAGACTGCTATCTCTTTCCCTATCATACGTTGTATATCACCTGTCACATTCTCTTATATATGTCATATAATTAAAAGCTGAACAAAAAAGTCTTTAAACGTCGCGCAGTATGGACATGCGTTATCTATAATTATTATTAAACATCATTAATTGTTTTACAATTAAGTCAATATGCTATCTCGTCTCCAGAGCTCGGCATGATAACCGATTATCAATCCATGTAAATAAAATAAAAGATGTCTGCCGTTGTTCGCACATCACGAAAAAACTACTAGGTTATATTTCAATTAAATGCTATAAATTTTTATAGTGCTAATCTCTCCACTTAAGATTGAATTATTATTAACAAGCAACTTAATATTATATTAGTAACAAGCAACGCAAACAAAGATAGATATCGACTAGTAATTAATAATATACAATAGCTGAGTTAAATGTGCTACGTCGCATAAACCCTGACCGATAATGAGAGTAGTTCGGCACAAGAGGCAAAACACCGTGTAATGATTGCGGAAAATAGGAGGCAGCTGCAGACATTAATATCACAGGCACAGAAATTACAACCATGATTTAAAATCACAGTTATTATTTCTATTCTTCATTGTTATCGATTTAGCAAGCATATAGCCTAGTATATGGTCGAGTGGAAGTTGCAATGGTAAAGTGGCTATTGGAATCAAATAAAATGAAAAAAAAACGTGTTAAAATATTAGGCCTTTGCAAAGGGATTAGCCATCTTTTTATACTACAGAAGACAGAAAGAGATAAGAGAAGGGTGGACCAGTAAGATTAAGAACATCTTTTTAATATTAATTTAAACACACAGATCCTACAGGACACTTAAAGAAAGTACATTATTGCTTTTGCTTTTCGTTTGGTAAGTGAGCTCACCGGGACCCGCTATTTTAAAGACTGCCAACACATCTGTATCTCCACTGGTGTTACATGTCTTTCGGCGGCGGTAATCACTTAACGTCAACCGAACCGCCTGCTGGCAGGCCATGTTCTCACATAAAGAAAAACATCCACAATCCTTCGCAACAAAATGTAGATGTTGCGTCGATGATACGATGCAGGAAGCGACTAGGATCCCCATAAATCCGGCGAACGGATTAAAGTCCGATTGTTCGGTGTCGATTATTCCGTTCGACTTGTGAGTTATTCTACTCCATTCATTATATTTACTCGAGCTGAACTAGATAAGGCATTAAGAAGCGCTATATCGTTCTGGAAGTGGTCTAACTCCTAGTGACAGGCAGGGTTATCGATACGATTTGACTGACTTATTAGACGAATTTATTAACAGTCTAAAGAATCATTAATAAAAAATACCTTATAAAGTTCTTGTGATAATATGTCATTGACGGTAGCCCGGATATTGAGATATAAAGAAGTATGGTTTTAGGACATAAAACATCTCAGTGTGTCCCGTGACCAAGAATGCTGTAAATTGTTCGAAAAGTCGGGAAATTTATATCCAAATAAAACGCAATAAATGACAAAAACTGTTTTATTTAACCACATGTAGTATGAGCGTAATTAAAAGAAACTGTTATGGTTATATCGCGTTTATTTTAAACGTAAAATTCAAAAGCACTAACAGTATGTCCAACGACCATGAATATTGGAAGTACTTTTAGTTGAATAATACAGTTTTAGACGGACGCCACTCTTACCTTTAGGCATTGGCAAATAAGGCGCGCTGCAGCGCTAATTGCTTGTGAAGGTCAGCCCTAAATCGATTTGCCTAATTGCTATCGAGCCTCTATATCGATGTTAGATAGGCATCTGGGGCGATCACGTCCAACAGCCAACGAACGACACATTAGCGGTCGTTAGTTATCCTTGAGAGTGCTCTCAGCTGCCCCATTGTTGCGTGACATTTGTGCCGGCGATGGTTCCCGTGTCGTGCAGTTGTAATTATCTATCTATATTGTAATATAATATAATATAATTATAATGTAATAAATCTGAAGATTTTGTTTGAACGCACTAATCTCTGGAACTACCAGTCAGATTTGTAAAAATCTATTTGCAAAAAAAAAAGCATTTGATAGCCCAATTCGTAATGAAGGTAACGATATAGTGTTTAATATCACGCTACGACCTACGGGGTCGAAGCAAAAACGTTTCTCGCAGATGACATCGCACGGAACAGCTAGTAAAATATATGCCACTGATGACATTTGCTTTCGAGTTTTTCGTGCACTGTCGAGAAAATAGAAAGGTACCATTTTCTGGAGGTACGCATCACAATATTTAAAAAGTTGGGATTAATAAGAACTTTTTGCGACTATCATCTTTGGCCACATTAAGAGGGATTTCACACCGCCCACGATATTGCGAACAAAGGGGTGTTTGAAGCAGTACTAAATTTTAATGTTTTAGTCAAAATATTTATTTCATGAGTTTTTTGAATTTTTTAAAATTGTCCTGACTAAGCTCTAAAGCCTTCTATCTTATTTATTTATATTTGTTCATTTTACGGTTCTTCGAAAAATTACTCCTTAAAACAAAGACTTCATGTATCTTTTTAATAATCTTGTGTTTAATATGCATTATACCTAGAGAATGTAACGTGTTTCTGTCAAACTATAACAATGCTTGTAAATATGTACACAGGATTCGACCTACTTTCTAAGATTATCTTTACAGGTAGGTTTGCTAATTGACTACGCTGATCCGATCAAGTCTTTACATCTCCTCTGTATCGCAGGTACAAATCAACGGCAGATTAGAATATCTCATATTCAATAATTTAGAACGCAGATGTCTTGTTGTGATAAATTATAACATTATTATTACGACAAGAAGGGAAAACGACAAACTCTAGAAGTAACGGTATATCATGGTTAATTATTCACTACGTTGGCCACACTCGATAACATATCGAGAAGGGCTCTGGGATCTCATACGGAATGTATCGGTGCCCCCCAGTATTTCGCAACAATGAGTACGGTTCGGGGAATGATAAACCTAACCCAATTCCCTCGCTGCTGCGGGCAAAACGAGACCATTTCCTGGTTAGCTAGGACTCCGATAGCCATGCGCGTGCACTCCATACATGCAAAAAAGTATTCCATACCATGGCGTCCCATTACAAACTTGCCCCAAAACACCGAAACACAAAATTTACAGTGAAGTTATAATTTTTTTTGTGTTAAAGAAAACAATCATTGTTATGTTTGATGTTTCTCACAGCCTGTTCAAAGGCCACATTGAATGTCATTTAAGTGACCTAAGTGAGTGAAATTATCATCAAGCACTCAGAGAAATTAGTTAGTAAATTTTAGTGCCGGTAGCCGGGGCCCACTTTTATTTAAAGTTGACAACGCATTTGCATCCCTACGGGCGTTGTGAATATCCGTGGGCGGCGGTTATTACTTAACATCAGGTTCACCGCCAGCTCGTTTGCCACTTTTTCACATAAATAAAACCTTTTTAAAAGGCGATATAAAACGGTACTGTACTTTTAGCAACCTCCGGAGTTCGGACAAAAATAATCGAGCATTATGTATTGTAAGAACGGTAAGTACATATTACGTACACAAATAACATATTAGAAGCATATAATCACATCGTAAGGTAACTTGCATTGCATAATCACGGTACCTATCTCATGGCGCGTTGAACGTAAATATGTTATTATATAAAATATAAGTGCTGTTTTACAATGAATCTGGTGAATCAGTTCTTGCTATGTCACTTTAAGATATATTGATAAATTCAGAACTGTTAAAATGACAACCAGCAGACACTAAAAGATGGCGCAATAAACAATATGGTTGGCGCAACTATTAGGGCCAATATGTGGAAGTTGGCCCCATCTCAATCGTTAAGCTTACCAACGTTGGTACTAACAATTGACCCAATGAGGCCTGAGTGATATGCAAGATTTTAAATATTCAAATCATCGACAAGCAGTAATATTAATGCTGTGCCAAACCGAATGCCAAACGTGGCAATTAGAATATATCAGTGCAACTTGGCAGACGCCGGTATTCCGATTGGCAAACAGTTTACGTGGCCAATGACACACATTACAATAAG